CCTGCCACTGTGGCATATGGGGCCGGTGCCCTACTCCTTCGAGCCACAGGTGCCGCCCCAAGACCCAGCTTTAAAACCCTGAGTTCTAAAAGAATCCTGAAGGAGGCTTTTTTATAATGTGCAAAGTCGTGTTCTAGACATGTTTATATATTAGGGTTGGAAAATGATACCCCCTGGAAAACCAGTTCACAAGAGAAGAGTTAACCCAGATAATCTAGCCTGCTTTAAAGGATGCTGGCTGAGCCCGGCAGATCTGCCATTGTGTTGGTCACTTGGCCGTAGTGGGGGTGGGGAATTCTGTGGAACCCTAAACTGCTCATCTATTTCATGGCTGTATTAATAGTTTCAGCACAGCACTGTTGAGGCAGTTAGGCGCTGGGATGGTTATGTCACATCTCCATATTGTCTCATCATGGTCTTTTCTCATCACAGCATCTTAATGTCCTATGATCATGTGGAACTTACATTCAATGATATGAAGAACGTCCCAGAAGCCTTCAAAGGGACCAAGAAAGGCACTGTCTACCTTACCCCTTACCGGGTGAGTTGCACAACAGGATGGTTGGTTTGGAGGCTCATTACTCTTGGAGGTTGTGTAGGCCTGCCTCAGTCTTGTGAATTGAGTGGCTTTTTTTTTTTTTTTTTTTTTTTTTTTTTTGAGACACAGTCTCAAACTGTTGCTCTGGGTAGAGTGCCCTGGTGTCACAGCTCAGAGCAACCTCACTCTTGGGCTTAAGAGATTCTCTTAGGTGCTAGCCCCATATACCGAAGGTGGTGGGTTCAAACTCAGCCCCAGCCAAAAACTGCAAACAAACAAACAAAAAAGAGATTGTCTTGCCTCAACCTCCCAGGTAGCTGGGACTACAGGCGCCCCCCACAATGCCTGGCTATTTTTTTTGTTGTGGTTGTCATTGTTTTGGCTGGCCCAGGCCAGATTCGAACCCGCCAGCCTCAGTATATGTGGTCAGCGCCCTGCCCACTGAGCGATAGGCACCTCCCCAAGTGGCCTTTGAATTCTGGTGAACGTCAGTGCCTCACTATGCTTGTTTCTCTGTCACATGCTACTGGATTATAGAACCAGTAGGCCCTTTTTTTTTGAGACAACCTCAAGCTGTCACCCTGGGTAGAGTGCTGTGGCATCACAGCTCACAGCAATCTCCAACTCCTGGGCTCAAGCAGTTCTCTTGCCTCAACCTCCCAGGTAGCTGGGATTACAGGTGCCCTCCACAACACCTGGCCATTTTTGGTTGTAGCTGTCAATTGTCGTTTGGCAGACCCAGGCTGGATTTGAACCCATCAGCTCTGGTACATGTGGCTGGTGCCTTAGCTACTTAAGCTACAGGTGCCAAGCCACTAGGCTCTTTAGGTGATGCTAAATTGACCACTGGGCAGTGAATCCATGCAAAGTCCAGAGTTGCTACTTCCCCATTTCTATGTACTTGTTTGCAGCTGCTGGGATGACTTGGGTCTGGGGACAAGAGACTGTTACTGCACGTATTTTGATTTCTGTAAGAGTATCCCAGGAAGCCTATGCACATCCAGAGTGATAGATGTGGTAAACAGGATGCAGTCGCATGGCCATAGCCTGCGAACTGGGCAGAGAGCCCAGCAGCACCCTGCAGAGTGAAAGCTGCCAGGCTGCAGAATGGGCCTTGCCTGAGTGTTAGCCACCCAGACTCTAAGGTGGAGAAACACAAATGGAAGTTCTTGGAAAAGGATCCCTGCCTGTAGCTATTCAAGACTTGTGATACCAAGGGTGACAAAGTGTGACGCTGTCTCAAAAAAAAAAAAAAAATGACTTAATGTTAAAGACAGCTGGAGGGAAAAGACCACCATTTTCAGGTCTTAATCTCTACAACTTTGCAGAGACCAGAGACCAGAGTCTCAAAACTTGACCTCTGGAGGCTTAAGTTGGTGTCTTCAGTCACAAATTGATGTCATGGGTTTAAAAACCAAAGGGTTCTCTAAGCACAGGATACTCTTGCTTCTGTTGGGGCAGTGACATCTGTGGGAAGGCTGTGACAGTCCCCTTTCTCCTGGGAGTTAATCCCCCTGGCATGCCATCATTCTCTGTCCTGCAAAATTCAGGTTGGAGACTTCTCTTTTCAGGAATCCTTTCCTACTTTGTCTCTCCCTGCTCTTCCCCAGCTTTGCAGGCCTCTTCATTTATGTGCCATATCTGCCACCTCCACACTGCCACTTAAATGACAGTGCAGTCTGTCCTTCTCACATATACCATCTGATCGACATGTTTTTCTCATGTTTACATAAGGCTGCCGCTCTAGGAGCGTGTGGTGCAGGGAGGGCCCTGAGGCTGCCAAGCCTGGGAGCAGACTCATCACACGCAGGAAGCCCCAGGCAGCGCAGGAGGAGGGAGCCCTGGGTCAGGTACTCATGGCCCTCCACCCCCTCCCTGCAGGTCATCTTCCTGTCCAAGGGGAAGGATGTCATGCAGTCCTTCATGATGCCGTTTTATCTGATGAAGGACTGTGAAATCAAGCAGCCTGTGTTTGGTGCAAACTTCATCAAGGGAACAGTGAAGGCTGAAGCAGGAGGTAGGTGATGAGGCGCTCAGGGACATGGAGGGGGCTTCCAAGGAGGTGCCCAGGGTGCCTCTGACTGCTGCCTTGCGGATATCCTCCTTGGACCCCTACCACCCTAGCCTGGCCTCCTTCCTTGGGCTGCCAGCTGGGCAGCAGAGGTGGGTTTTGGTTGCTAAGAGCTGGGACAAAATCCTAGTATTAAAGATGGCTGCTCAGATCACCCTTTCAGAGATTGCAACTAAATAAAGATGCTAACTGTGACCTGGGGAGGTCGTACAAATTTTAGATTCTAGAAGGAGCTGTGTCAGTTTTTTGGGAAAGGCCTTTTCTCAAGAGCCAGGAACAGGCACTTACCCCCTGGGAAGCCTGAAGGGCCCAGCTTTGTGGCCAGCTCTTTTGTAGACACCAGAAGTCTCTGCATTGAACTTGCCTTCACACCCAGCCAGGCCTAAGCCTTGCTTTTGAGGAGCTCTTGGTCCACTTTTGGGCACCAGGCTAGAGGGGCCAGGGGCCATCCTTTACTCACCTCAAAAAAATAGATCTGCTGTGAACTTGAACATCAGTTATTGCTGAGTATACTACTTGCAGGGAGGCTGCTGAGTGCTAAAACCAAACCAACATGGCTTTAGTGCCTGTGTTTACCAGGCCAGGGAGTGGGGGTGGGCTTGTTCTGAGAAGGAAAAGCCTCCTGTTCGGAAGGGGGAAGATGGGTGCAGAGGAGCCAGGCCAGACTGCAGCGCTGGCTTGTAGGCCGGCATCAGGCTAGAGCAGCCATGGCCCAGAGACAGAAGCCTTGCACATTGCAGGCCTTTCCCCACAGGCCTGTTTGGTTTCACCTCTTTTCTTTTCCTTCCCTCTTCTGCTTATTCACTTTGCAGGTGGCTGGGAAGGGTCAGCTTCCTACAAGTTGACCTTCACAGCAGGGGGCGCCATTGAGTTTGGACAGCGAATGCTCCAGGTGGCATCTCAAGGTAGGAGATGAGGCTCTACAGATTAAGGGCCAAGGATACGTTTGTGTGGGGCTTTTACTTTTTACTTTATTTTTTTAAGCACTCAGGAGCTAACGAAGTGTGTGGGCACCAGGTTGACCAGGCCTGGGAACTGGGAAGAAAGCCTATAATTACCATTGGCCCTGGCTCTTATCTCCAAGGCTGGGTTTCCCTTCCCTGGTGCTAGTATATGACATTTCAGCCAGAGGTTTCAGAGTCAAGGACATTTTACAATGGCCTGCTAAAAACAAAAACCCAGCCATTAAGCTATCATTAGTAACTAGTATAAATCCACAAGCGATGTGCTTAGCACACAATCTCCCAGCCCCATCTACACCCTCTCCCTGCACCTCCCTCTGCCCACACCTCCTTTTCATCCTTGCCCAGGCTCTGACCTTTCTCCCATCCTCTCCCCTTGCCTCATCCCTGGCCTAGGCAGACACAGAGGTTGGTGAAGAGTGGAGTAGAGTGGGTAGGGCATGTCTGCTGGGCACAGCCCTAGGCCCAGCAGCTCCCCTCTGCAGGCAGCAGGGCCATCCTCTCCCAATGCCCGAGGCAGGCGACACTCACTTCTCTCTCCCCTTGTGCTTATAGCCTCCAGAGGTGAAGCCCCCAATGGAGCCTATGGGTACTCTTACATGCCCAGCGGGGCCTATGTCTTTCCCCCGCCAGTCGCCAATGGAATGTACCCCTGCCCTCCTGGCTACCCCTATCCACCGCCCCCACCTGGTGAGTGTGTCCTTTGCTGCCTACCCTTACCCCACCCACCCACTAACCACCCCCTCCCAAGCCAGGGGGCCATAGTGGAGACACTTCAGGACTAACGAGAAGCTGGAGAGGCTTGAGGAGGATGCCAGCTGAGGGGCTGGGCTATATGGCTCCCATGGAGGCAGCCTTCAACAGTAGCATGGCTTGGGCACTCAACCATGTCCCTGTCACTCCCTTGCTGAGCAGAGTTCTATCCAGGACCTCCCATGATGGATGGGGCCATGGGGTATGTGCAGCCTCCACCACCGCCCTATCCTGGGCCCATGGAACCTCCAGTCAGCGGCCCTGATGTCCCCTCCACTCCTGCAGGTGAGGCCCCTGGTTGCCTCCTAAGGTCATACAGAGAGCCTCAGAGATGCCACCAGCTGGGAACCCCAAATGATAGATGAACCCTGGCCTAGGGACTAACCCATGGGACCCCTGCCTGGGGGTATGGAGCTGGATTCCAGTCCCCCAATCTCTTAGCCACATGTCCTAGATCTAGGAATGGTGCCCAGTATGCCTGAGTCTTGTCATCTACAAATAGATGATCATAGTGCCATCTGGTGGGATTGGGTTGGGGATTAGCTGGGGTAAGACATGTGAAAGGGCTAGAAAGAACAGTGCCAGCACATGGCAAGTGCTCAGGAAATTTTAACTGCTGTTGGGCAGTGCCTGTGGCTTATTGGGTAGGGCGCCAGCCCCATATATCGATGGTGGTGGGTTTGAACCCCGCCCCAGCCAAATTGCAACCAAAAAATAGCTGGGCGTTGTGGCAGGCACTTGTGGTTCCAGCTACTTGGGAGGCTGAAGCAAGAGAATCGCTTAAGCCAGGAGTTGGAGGTTGCTGTGAGCTGTGATGCCATGGCACTCTACCGAGAGCGATAAAGTAAGACTTTGTCTCTAAAAAAAAAAAAAAGAAATTTTAACTGCTATTTTTACTGATGGACCCCTGGGCCCCTAGCACCAGGTGCCCTGGACCTTGGGGTCCCGGGGTCACAGGCTGAGCTCAGCCCTTGGGGAAGCCACAGGAGGGGATGGTGCTAATCACCAACACTGGGTATGTTTGCTCTCCCAGCTGAAGCCAAGGCCGCAGAAGCAGCTGCCAGCGCCTATTACAACCCCGGCAACCCACACAATGTCTACATGCCTACGGTGAGTGGGGGTGGTGGCGCCAGGGCAGCCCCCTTATCCACAGAGTTAGGGACAGGGAGACCTTGTTTGGTTTTGAATCTTCTAATGTCATCTTTTCTTTTTGCCTTCTTTAGAACCAGCCTCCACCACCTCCCTACTACCCCCCAGAAGATAAGAAGACACAGTAGACCCTCCCACCTCCCTGCTTCCCACCCAGTGCCCCTTCCTTCCCCTCCCTGGGGCTGAGGCTGGGGTTCAGGGAGGGGGGGGGGCTTGTTCTTCCTTCAGGTCTGATTATAAACAGTCACTAGAACTAGCACTGTGGGACAGAGGGACCCCTGGCCTCTGGACAGGCGCCACCTAGCTTCTTGTGCCAGCTCGGAGCCCATGGCACTGCTCAGCGCACCTCCCTCGACTAACTCTGGGCTCTCCTTGGGAGCCCTGTTTTGCTCTTGTAGCTTCTCCCTACCAGGGACTCTCTGGCCACCTCCTCCACCTCAGTCCACCTCCCTTGGTCTGGTCCACTGCACTCAGCCTCATGGCCCTAAGACCAGGCCCTGTCAGGCCTGCTCACGTTCCCTCTGCTGGCCTGTTCCTAGCGTGGAAGGGACTGTCCTGCGGACCATCAGCCCACATTCCGTTAGCCAGGCTCCAGCCCCACCCACACTCCTCCTCTCCTTTCTCTGCCCTTGGTCATGCTGTTGCCACCTCTGTATGACTTTTGAAGCTTGAGCTTCCAGGAGTTGGGTGGTGCTGGGGGCAAGGCCGCTGTGCCTGGGAAGGAAGCCCCTGTGTCCCTGCTAGTGTTTCTGGAATTTGCTTTCCCTCTCCTCTCTCTACCCTCTAGAAGGGGCTTCTTGAATGGAACTGGAGAATGCACGTCTGTTCTATCTTGCCATTGGGGACTGCTGGGTGGACTGGGAACAAGGACTCTGACCCTGCTGCCAGCCCCTCAGCCTGCCCTCTTCCCTTTGAGCTTCATGCCCCTTGGATGCGCTAAAATTTGCTCTTGTTTCTTCTTGGACTGGCCACAAAGTGAGGAGATGGTTATTTAAAGAGAATTCCCTATTTATTTGACAAAAAAAAAAATTTCGGTTAATATATTAATGTGAAATAAACCCTGTTTGCACCTTGATTTGTTTGCTAAAAATGTGAAATAGTAAAAATGAAGTAACAACCCTTTCTGGCTCTGCATGTGGTTAACCCAGGTGACCAAGGAAGGACAGCTTTCTGGTTGCAGAGGGCCCTGGGAGGTTCTGGGAGACTGTTCCTCCGATGAAAAGCCCCTTGTTCTAATGGACTATTTGGTCCTCATGATACCTCTGCCTGTAGGGTCTCCATCTTCTGTGCTCCACCCTGAGAATCCTCTGGGACCTAGGCGGGAGGGTGTTCAGGCTTCCTGGCCTGTCCCCTGCTGGCTGCAGGGGGGATTGCATTTCTGGCCCAGGCGTCTGAGGGAGGAGGCCCTAGGCCTCTGGAGCATGTTGAGACAGACACACTCTGGAAGACTGGCTTCCTGCCACCCTCCTGTGATCCTGGTGGGAAGGGAAGTGGAGAGAACCAAAGGCACAAATGCCCCTGTGCCTCTCAGCTGAGGCCCAGGGCACAGGCTCAGTAAGTCACAGAGGTCTGAGAAAGCCCAGTGTTGGCCCTTGTGAATCAAGTCCACCCTCATGGGAGAGACTAGGCAGCAAGTCCTCTCTGGCCTCTGGCTTTGGCCCGCCCTACCTGGGAGCTTTGGGGTTTGGCTAAACCTACAAGGGCATTTGAAGGGAGCATTCACCTGACCGTCACAGTGGAGGCAAGGGCCATACCTGCCCAGCACAATTTGGCTATGTCACCACTGGGGAATGTCACCTATGAGGTGGGGCAGACAGAGTTGGCGGCCAGCCTCTCAGGAGCCCCCGCCCTGAGTCCTGCCCCAAGTGGGGCCTATGGGGAAGTCCAGTGAGAATACCCCAGGGGCCCAGGTCAGCTTCCCTCCTGACTCGTCTGGGCACAGTACACAGATGGAGCAGAATTGCCCACCTGGCACTGCCACTGCAGGAGTGCTGGACCCTCCCAGGGCCCTTGCAGGAGGGTGGAGTTGGGCAGGGCCCGCCCACTGGGTCCACCTTGTGCTCCAGCCTGGAGCGGGTACAGCCGGGATTCTGGCTGGAGGAAGGTTCAGAGGGCCTGGGAGACAATCCCCCCCAGTGGCAGTGAAATTCTAACTCTCTAACCCTCCCCACTGCCCTCCCTCTCCCCTCCCCTGGCAGAGGGTGGCAGCCCCGTGCTCTTTGCATAATCCTGCGGCTTTGCTGTCTTGACTTCGCTGTCTTCACTTACCACACCACAGCAGGGGACAGCCGACGGGAAGGGCAGAGCAGGCCACCATGGCAACACTCCTCTCCAACCCCCAGAGACGCCCTCCCCTCTTACGCCAGGCCATCAAGATAAGGCGCCGCAGGGTCAGAGACCTGCAGGATCCTCTGCCCCAGATGGAGGTAGGAGTGACCTCAGTGGGGAGGACAGCAGCCCCAGGGGCTTGGTGGTGCCCTGATGTCTGGCCCCACCTATTGAAGGCTGGGACGGAGGACTAAGGACCTTCCCCTGCCCACCCCAGCCCCTGGGCAGGACCCTGTGGTCCAAGAGAGCCCACCTGCCAGGTGTCCCTAGGCTACCAAGGGCCTCAGGTCAAGAGGCCGTTCCTCCCCCAAGCCTCCCCATGATGAGCCATCCCCTGCTCCTCCTATTCCGAAGGCACCAGCTCCATTAGGCAGGCAGTGTCCCTGCAGAGCAGTAGGCTGCTTAGGGATCAGTTGAGCAGTCCCAGGCCTGCTCACATCCCCCTCACCTCCTCTGGGCCTCACTTCCGCTGGGTGGGGAGAGGAGCTGATAAGCAGTGTCAGTGTCGTTTCCTCCAAGGCAGGAAGGGAGGTGGGGGTGCAAAGAGCTGACTGCTGGGCCAGCTGGGCGCCCATGGACCTCCACTATGGCAGGCCAGGGGACAAGGACAGCGACCCTGGGGCTGGGCCCCCAGGAGGCCTGCTGGGGGAACAGGTGTGGGGCTTCGTGAGGCTGGGTGCTGGGCCCTGGGCCTGAGCCTGGGCCTGGCCTGGTACACCACCTTGTTTTTCCACCTTGCTGTGCAGACCAAGCCTCCATCTCATCATCTGTCCCCAGAGGAGGTAAGCATCGGAGTATTGGGGGTGCATCCTTCTGAAAAATCCCCGTAACCCCTGGCCAAAGCTGATGGCAACAACCTGGGGTGGGAAGGGAGCTTCTGGGTCCTACCCCCTCTGCTGCAAACATGGCACCTGCCCCTGCTGTGGGTGTGAGGTCTAAGTGCCAAGGGTGAGGCTCCTGAGATGGTCCTCTGTGTCCCAGCGGGCCCTGCTCTACGAGGAAGCTCTGTACACTGTCCTACACCGCCTGGGTCAGCCGGAGCCCACCCACGTGACAGAGGCCTCTGAGCTGCTACAATACCTTCAGGAGGTGAGCCCAGCCCCAGCCCACGCCTTCCTGCAGCTGGGACTCAGCCGCCCCTTTCCAGGCCTGGCCCCTACGCTGTGCCCTCAGCCCCCACACTCCTGCCCCTTGGATTGCCTCCCCACAGGCCTTCCACATGGAACCTGAGGAGCACCAGAAGACACTGCAGCGGGTCAGGGAGCTCCAGGTAACCCAGGGCCAGGAGGGGGCCTGGGAGGCCCAGTCCTCTATGGAACTCAGCACGCCCCTTCTATCCCTTTAGAAGCCAATATTTTGTCTGAAGGCAACAGTGAAACAAGCCAAGGGCATCCTGGGCAAGGATGTCAGTGGTGAGTGTGGGTGGGGCGCTCAAGGGTCTTCTTCCTCTCTCATCCAGAGTATGACTCCTGGCAGGAGTGCGTACCCGCCACGAGTCCCCCAGCCTGCTTCTGCCCAACGTCCCCTTTTGCTCAGCCCCTGGGATGGGACTGACTACCTGGCTGCATCATCCTCGCCATTCCTCCCCAGGGTTCAGTGACCCCTACTGCCTGCTGGGTATTGAGCAGGGAGTTGGTGTGCCAGGGGGAAGCCCGGGGGCCCGGCGGCGGCAGAAGGCCGTGGTGAGGCACACTATCCCCGAGGACCAGACCCACCGCACCCAGGTCATCAGTCAGACACTCAACCCCGTCTGGGATGAGACTTTTATCCTGTACGTGGCCCTGCCCCAGCCCCCACCTTGTCCAGGGCTCCTCTGGGTGGTAGGGTCTCCCCCAGTCAAGAGATCAGTGGGTCTTCCTGGCTCAAAGTGGGGCTTGGCCCTGGGCAAACACTAGAGGAGGAGCCCATCTTCAATACAGAGTAGGTCAGACCAGTGACATCAGTGTCGTGTGAGCTGGGGACCAGGAAGGCTCTGGCTGAATCTGGGGGTGTCTGGGGCCTTACCTTAAAGGAAGGAGGGTGCGCCTGGGAGGGAAAGAGGGATGTGGCAGGGACCAGCCATGAGTCCAAGCAGGTGATATTGGAGATGGCAGCTTTCAGGGAGAGCCTCTGGGCTGGGGTTGCTTGTGGATCTATCTGCTTCAGCCCTCAAGACCTTCAACCATGCCCTTTTCTCCCTACAAGGGAGTTTGAGGACATCACCAATGCAAACTTTCATCTGGACATGTGGTAAGTGAGGTACATGCCCTGCCCCTAGGGACAGGGAAGAGAAAGGATCAAGGGCTGAGGGTGACCATGCTTCCTCCCAGAAGGGATCACAGATAACCCTGTCTGCCTTTTGCTCAATCCTCTGCCCCTCCAGGGACCTGGACACTGTAGAGTCTGTCCGACAGAAGCTAGGGGAGCTCACAGATTTACACGGGCTTCGCAGGTAGGTGCCTCAGGGCTCACAGGGAAGGAGTGGGGGCTCCTGCACTTCCCATACCTGCACTGGACTATAGATGGCTGCAGGTAGGCACATTCCAGCCTGGTTGGTAATCTTCCTCATGAATCCTGCCTGGAATAGGATCTTTAAGGAGGCCCGGAAGGACAAAGGCCAGGATGACTTTCTGGGGAATGTGGTTCTGAGACTGCAGGTAACGGGGAAAGGGGGCTAGGGCTATGGAGAGGGGTTCTAGGTCTTAACCAAAGAGAACCTGGGGTCTGTCCCCTTGTCTCCCCTCCCCCTGACTGCATGAGGTCCTGACACTCGTGGTTCTGCCAGGACCTGCGCTGCCGGGAAGACCAGTGGTACCCCCTGGAGCCCTGCACCGAGACCTACCCAGACCGTGGCCAGTGTCACCTCCAGTTCCAGCTCATTCATAAGCGAGTAGGTGTGAGGCTGGGCCAGGGACTGTGGCAACCCCCTCAGTGGCGCAGCTTGGGTGGGAGGACAGCTGCACCCCACGTGGGGTCATATCTGCTCATAGAGACTGCATTGCAGAGAGCCACTGCAGCCAGCCGCTCCCAGCCCAGCTACACCGTGCACCTCCATCTTCTGCAGCAGCTTGTTTCCCATGAGGTCACACAGCACCAGGTACTGCCTTCCCAGGGCTAGGTGTAGCTGGAGCTGCCTGTCAGGTCCTGACACTTCTCCACCTGTTCCCCTCAGACAGGCAGCACCTCCTGGGATGGATCGCTGAGTCCCCAGGCGACCACCATTCTCTTTCTCCATGCCATGCAGAAGGACCTATCTGACTTCCACCAGTCCATGGCGTGAGCATGCAGCCCCTCCCATCCCTCCAGCCCTCCTAGAAGCTAGCAGCCCAAGGTCTATGCCCTAGGAGCCTTCTCTTGGGACCAAACTATGTCTTAAGTTTTGAATCAGTTATCAACTTTGAAAAATCTGAAAATTTCACATAGGGATCCACATCTCCAGCTAGGGCCATCATTTTGCTGGGCTGTGCAGCCCTAGTGAGCAAATCCATATGCTGACATTAGCAAATCCATGCTGAGGGCCTAACATGCCCCAGTGCCTGGTCAGATTCTAGAAACAGCAGGAAGTCACAGTTGTCCCAGTGCATGTGAGAGGAGCAGAAGTAGGTCCAGGACTCCGTAACCAGGGAGGGGATCAGGGCAGGATGCTGGCTTGTTGAGGGTGGGAGGAAGCTGTGGAAGGCAATTCTGGGCCTGGGGCAGTGAGTAACCTTCTAGGCCCCTGGGCAGTGAGTCTTCCTGGAGTCAGGGGTGGATGGTGTAAGGCTGGAGACTGGAGCAGGCGCCAGATGATGAGGGGCCTGGCTTGCTCAGAAGACCCAAGCAGGTGGCCACTGTGTCAAGTAGGGACCTGGGTCTGTTGCTGGGTTGCTTTTCTCTTGTATCCTCTGCCCTGTCACTGGGACCTCATGTGTGAAGTCACCCCTTCACATATAGGGAAATTCCAGCTGCTGTTTGCCATATGTGCACAAAGATTCAAGTCACTTGATCTGATTTTTTGCAAGAAATCCTGACATTTTTAAATTACAAATGTTCCAATTTAAGAGATAGGCAATTTTAAAAGCATCTATGGAAATAAACTCCTGTGGACTACTAGTTTCTAGCCTGTACTACTTGGTGGAGCTCCCTGAGAGGCTCTGGAACAGGGGTGCCATCCCCATGGCTGATGGTGCTCCATTCACAGGCAGTGGCTGGCCTATAGCTGCCTCTACCAGAGCCTGGAGTTCCCTAGTGGCTGTCTTCTGCATCCCATCACCAGCATTGAGTACCAGTGGATCCAGGGCCGGCTCAAGGCAGAGCAGGTGGGCTTGGGGTGGGGTAAGGAGTGCTGGGCAGGTAAGGCCTGGGGAGGGGAATGGCTGTTGGCCCCTAATGTAGCCCCTGGCTCTGCAGCGGGAGGAGCTAGCCACATCCTTCCAGTCCCTGCTGGCCTATGGCCTCTCCCTCATCCGGAGATTCCGCTCTGTCTTCCCCCTCTCAGTCTCCGACTCCCCAGCCCGGCTGCAGTCTCTTCTCAGGTCAGTGGCTCCCCTCTTCTTCTTCGGTTGAGTCAGGGATGAGGAAGCAGCCAGGGGCACCTGTAGCGATGGGGGAAGCCTGCTGGAGGAGTGCGAATGGTGGGTGTGGGGTAGCAGGCCTATGGGCACAGCCCTTTTGCCTCACAGGGTCCTGGTACAGATGTGCAAGATGAAGGCATTCAGAGAACTGTGTCCAGACAGCGCCCCACTGTCCCAGCTGGTGACCGAGGCCCTGCGGGTATAGTACTCATGCTGGGGAATGGGGGGAGTGTACCTGAGCCTAGGGACCCTGTGCTTACTGCCTCCTTGCTGGCAGACTGGCACTGTTGAATGGTTCCACCTGAAGCAGCAGCACCATCAGCCCATGGTGCAGGTGAGGAGCTGGGCAGGGAGGAGGGTGGGGGTGCCTACCCCTTGAAGCCTTGCTCAGTTGCTCAGTGCACCTCTGTCCCTCCCAGGGCATGCTGGAGGCAGGCAAGGCCTTGCTGAGCCTAGTACAGGACATTGTTGGCGACCTGCAGCAGTGCCAACGCACATGGAACAAGATCTTCCTCAAGTGAGCAGACAGCAGGGGTGGGAAGTGGAGGGTCAGCAGCTCAGCTCAGACCCGGGACTGAGGGACCCTGGGTGTATACCACTGGGTGATGCCCACTGCCTTTCCCCCAGTGCCCTGAAGATCGACCTCTTCTCTGCTGCTTTCCTAGAGCTGCAGTGGCTGGTGAGTCTTTCCGCTGTCTCTAGCCTGCAACATTCGCTGGGCTCTGTGCCCTGCCCACCATGCCTTTCCTTCACAGGTGGCCAAGCGGGCCAAAGACCACACAGCAGCAGTCGGTAGCCCCGTGTCCCCAGAGATGGGTGAAAGTCTGTTCCAGCTCTACATCAGCCTCAAGGAGCTCTGCCAGCTGCACCCGGCGCCCTTGGAGAGGTGGCCCTCAGGGTGGTTATGGGTGGGCTGCCAAGGCATAGGAGAGAGGAGGGTCTACGAGGGCCCAGGGCCTGCAGCAGCCATGGCCTTTCCTAAAGGCAAGCTGCTCTGGCTCTCCCCAGGGATGGAGTCCTGGCCCTGGATGGTTTCCACTGCTGGTTCCAGCCGGCCATCCCCTCCTGGCTGCAGAAGACGTACAGCGTGGCCCTGGCACGGGTGCAGCGTGCAGTACAGATGGACCAGGTAGGGGCGGGGCCCAGACTTGGGGGCGAGGCTTGGACTCACCCTTTCCTCTTGGGCAGCAATTATCAACCTGTGGGTCACGACCCCACAGGAACTGTATTAAAAAGCCACACATTGGCTCGGGTTGAGAA